ATTTAACTTACAGAAAAGTCATTTTCAAATTATTTCCTTAATTATTTAGAAATGCATATCAACTTTCATTGAACAAAGCAATTTTTAATGACCAAGCAGGGGAATTTTCATTGATTTGAAACGAGGAAAACTTTTCGCGTTAAGTTTTATACATTTTTTAAATATTCATAAACAAATTTATAAATTTTATCTACTTAAATTATGATTTTAGATTTTATACTTAATGAACAAGTTCTTTCTAAGTCCACAAAAATAATAGTTTATTGTGCGTAACGTCTATTAGCAACTAAAAAAATTTGCGTTAAGTAGTACTAAACTTGATCACTTTCGTTTTATTAAATCTAACTATACTATAATATTAATTGTTTTGGACAGCCCTGATCTAAATTAAGCAACTTTCTTATTGCCTTTGAGAATAAATCAGTTCTTACTTTTTTAAAGTATCGATCTAATTCGGATCGTACCCATATTTATAATTTGCATTTATTTAATTTGCATCTCTGAACGCTGGAACTTAAAAATTGGTAATAGAGCATATTGTTTTTAACCACAGTCCGTATTCAATTTTTTTCAGCATAAGATATTTGAAGACTATGCATATAGAAACCAAAATTATTTTTCAATGTGAAGAAGAAGTATAACGTAATATATTACAGAAGCAAATATATAGAAAGAGAAAAGAGTAGAGAAATATATGATAATTTAGTTGTTAGTAAATTCCTTATGTAATATATCAAATACAATAAAGTTTTGGAACAAAACAGCCTATGACCTTTGTTAATTATTACCAGCAATATAACTGATCAACTAATTATACATCGTCAAAAAGAAACATCGTTGTAGTCCTGAAAATTTGTCACGAAATCGAAATCGAAGAATGGCCATCTCGAGAAACAGCCAGGCAGCAATCAGGGCACGGGAAGAATGACTATCTTGAGAAACAGCCAGGCAGCAATCAGGGCACTTAAATCTCATCAAGTAACATCAAAACAGGTGATGGATTAGATTCAAGTATCTATTTTATGTGTTCTACGAGCCATATTGGAATCCAAGACAATTACGTAGCCCCAGAACCTTTCTTGGGCTTACTAAAAAGTAACATTTCTCTACTTATTATAAAAGAAAAAGAAAAACAAAAAAGATAACACTGAAAAAACTCCATCATGCTTATCACATTCTGAATCGCTTTTAAGTATTTACAATCTAAATTAATATAAGGAATAAAAGAATATAATAAAAAATTATTTGATAATTATAACATGAATTTTTACAGGAAGTTGAACCAACACTTAAATAAATTGTAATTCCTCTCTGATAGAAATTGCAGATTTTGCAGAGACGGAAAAAAGACCGAGAAACATGTTAGGCACCTGCTTTGAATTACTGCAAAACTTGCATGAATACTCAACATCTGATGATGAACTGATAATATGAAGATTATGACGAAACTACTATTTATTGAAAATATAGGACGTAGGGAATCATTTTAAGTCCAAACAGGTGAGATAAGAGCATTTAACGACTCGATCCCGTCTTTATACCACACAGAAAGAATTGAGACATCATCGTATAATACGAGTATATGTTTACGAATAAATGACTCCAATTATTAAGTCCAAATAGGTGAGATTAGAGCATTTATACCACACAGAAAGAATTGAGACATCATCGTATAATACGAGTATATGTTTACGAATAAATGACTCCAATTATTAAGTCCAAATAGGTGAGATTAGAGCATTTAACGACTCGATCCCGTCTTTATACCACACAGAAAGAATTGAGACATCATCGTATAATACGAGTATATGTTTACGAATAAATGACTCCAATTATTAAGTCCAAATAGGTGAGATTAGAGCATTTAACGACTCGATCCCGTCTTTATACCACACAGAAAGAATTGAGACATCATCGTATAATACGAGTATATGTTTATGAATAAATGACTCCAATAATTATATCTGAAATGAAATGGAAACATTTTGTACGATTATGCTTTAATGATATATAATATTTCACTGGCCTTGATATTGTAGATTAAATAAATCTATTGATATTATAAAATAGTATAGATTCGATACCAAACTCTTTTATGATAATCTACAATATATAAACCATTTTAGCATAAAATACACTTGTATCTTGAATATCAGCCACGCAGAATACTAATAAATACGAGTCATTTTTAAATTAATTTTTTCCGGGAATTGGTCATTACCAAAAACTTCAAATCTGCGAATTGTTTTTTTTTTAATGTGAAACTAACATATATCTTTCATATATAAATATTTATATATTTTTTATAAATGTAATTTGAAAAAAATAAAGAAAATCTAAAAATTCAAGTTCTTTCATTTTAGTACTAAATATTGATTTGTACGATAATAGCGTTACTTGTGTGAATCCCCACTTATGGATGGCTAAATTTTAATAATTTTTCGTTAAGCTTAAACGTTAAACACACAAGATTAGTTTAATATTTATAAAAAAAAGGTGAGTGTGATAATAAACATTGTAAATTTTTCCACTCATAAATTTATAAAAAATTTTTTTATTTTTTTTATTAACAAACTTGTTATAGACCTATCACTATTAAATTTTTAGTAAATATGTAGAGAATAAGTAATGAAAGTGTTTTGTATATATAAGATAATGAACTTAATATTACAGATCCTAGCACTTTATATATCTCAACAAAAGAACAATTAGAAACAACTCAACTAAAACACACTTTTGGGTTTTAATAGGTATCACGCTATCAAGTATCAAGCTATCAGGAATGAATGAGTGAATTCTTCTTAAATACCGAAAAAATCGAATAATAAATATATAGCCAGTCACAATAAAATCGGAAAAAAATTTAAAACAACAATGTTAGGTGTACTACAATTATATTATATAACAAAGCAAAAAGGGGACTCACAGCTATAAAAGATTATCAAAATTGTCCAAAATTTGTTAAAATTTATTATCAAAATTAGAAAGCTAATATTATATCAACGATGATCAATCAATTCCACTAACAAAACTATATAAGCGAAATTATCTATTAGAGTCGTTTGAAATATTTCAACAATGAGTTGAAAGCGGTCTCCGACTACAGTTAAAGTAAGGATCAAGAAAACCTGCTGAACGCAATCAGAATACTCCAGTGACTCATTGCTAGCTATGCTTTCAATAGTCATCGTAATTAAAAGATCTAATCTTTAATGACCAAACTGAAAGTGTCACTTCATAAGTCATCAAAAATAAATTAGAGAGAAAGACAGGAAAACATCGCTTACTTGCTATTATATCAGAATAAATTATCAAGCATGATGAAGAACATATACATATATGTGTATAAGATTTGTGAATTATTTAATAAGGTAATAACACAGTTCAGGTATTTTAAAGTAATAGAGGTTAAAAATTAAAAACAATTTTGTTTATATTTTTTTCTTTGGGAAATATGCCCTTATATTCTATTTAATTATAAACATATTTTAAGCTACACGAAGTATATTTATCTAAACTGTTGCATAGTTTGGTGAATCCCATTTTAAAAAGGCGCCCTAACATCAGTTAATTAACTATTTATATATATTTAAAATAAAATGTAAATATTGATTCTAAATTTTTATAAAAAAAAATGTTTATATTTTCTAATTGTATTTGTTAAATAAAATATTATTATGAATGTATTTCGTTAAATAAATACATAAAAAAGAAATATAGAAAGGCTATCTGGCCATCTTTGTACTGTATTCCAATCATTTATATATAACCATTTGAATTTTTTTTTTATTAATTTTAAGTTCTTCACATTGCACAGCTAAAAAATAGAATTCTCTTAACGTTTAAAATAGGCCACTCCTTTTATTTTACGTATATCGTAACATTTTCCATATAAAATAGAGCTGGGGCTCTAGGTCAGCGACTACCTTGTAGATTCCAGCGTAGAAATTGCTTTGTTATGCAGGATACTACTTTCCTGAGCGTGTGGTCAATTCTTCTTTTGATTTCAGTGACAGCTTGTATTTGAACCGAGCGTTCACGAAGATCAGTATTGGATATGCACTTGGACCACCATATTTTCAGTATTTGTCTTAATTATTTGTTTATGAATACATGGATGCGCAATTAAATAGGAACCGAGTTGTTCCACGTTCCGCATCCGTAATACAACATTGATTTGACGTTCGAGTAAAATATTAGAAGCTTAGTACGTGTGCTTATTTGATTAACCCCACACATTGTTTAACTGAATAAACTACAGAAAATGTAACTACTCGACCTCGTTCTACGTTATTAATAACCATAAACGTAATGTCGTTTCTAGTTACTAAGATCTTGTGAATTCAAGGTGCCGAAGTTATATATCAAATTATATTTGATAAATTAATAAATATTAAATACGATAATATTTCGTTAAATACAATATATATATATATAAAAGTTATAATTTAAAACTAATCAATATTGAAATTTCATTAAAAAAAATTAGAAATTTTTCTTTGTATTTTAATATTTAATTTATATCTTTAATATATTATTAGATCAAAAGCACTTACCTCCTAATAAATTCCTACAGCACGACAATTCCATTGTACCATGCAGTCTTCATTATGGATGTATAGAATTATACTGTAAATATTTTTAAACAAATTAAATAATATAACACTGCAATATATGTCATAAAATAAAAAATAAAAAATTTAAAAAATGTATTTTAGCGTTTACTTATATTTGCACTTATACTTATGCATTTGTGCTAGCCGCTTACTTCAAGATTATGGTATGGGTCAACCTCCTGAGGAGTTATGTATATATGTACTTACATGGAATGTAGGTGCTAGTTCGCCAGAGAAAACAAATTTGGATAGCTTGTTATCACTTGATGGAACATCAAATTGTCCGAAAAAAGAGCCGGATATATTTGTGATAGGACAACAAGAAGTCCAAGCAAGTGTAGCAAAACAAATAAGTTGTTTATTTACAAATCATCCATGGACAGATTCATTTATTACATATTTAAAAGATTATGGTTACCAAAAGGTATGTTCAAGATTGATGCAAGGTTTGCTAATTAATGTTTTTGCGAAATCTGAACATTTACCATACATCGATAATGTGGAGTCGCAGAAAACTGGAACTGGATTAGGTGGGTTTTGGGGTAACAAGGGTGCTGTAAGTATACGCATGAATCTCTATAATGGAAGTGTAACATTCGTCAATATGCATTTGGCAGCACACGATGGTATGATGGGAAAACGCCTCAAACAGTTTACAAAAATTTTATTATATCACAACTACAAAACTCTTCATTATATATTTGATCACGACGTAGTCACTATTCTCGGTGATCTCAACTTTCGAATTAAAGGCATAGATAATTCTGAGTCCATAATTAATAAAGTTAAAAATAAAAATCTTTATGAGTTACTGGAACGTGACGAATTACGCATATTATTAGAACATAATAAAATATTTCAATGTTTAAATGAAGTTTGTCCTGAATTTTCACCAACATTCAAATATAAAGTTGGCACTCAAAGTTATAACAGAAAGCGACGTCCAGCTTGGTGCGATCGAATATTACACCGGGCGCTAGGTAAGCAGGCACGTTGTATCGGATTTCCCGTAGCCTATGGAACTTTTTTAAAAGTGCAACAATTATCATACAGATCGCATTGGAAATACGTGCAATCTGACCATAAGCCAGTTTCAGCAGAATTCTTATATAAAATGGAAAGAACTAGCAAATGCAAATATTTCAGTGCTGAGGGCGATTATATACGACCGGTAATGTAGAGATATATATAAGTATATATGATAAGTACGGGTGTATTAAATTTATTTAATATAACATGCTTAAAAGCATCCACATTATTCAAATTCAGGAGCATTATATTAATACAAAAAAAAAAAATAAACTTATTTATTAAAAGTTATATATATACAGCTAGGTCATTATAAAGCAGACTAATTATCTCTAATATAATCTGTAATCAATCTCATCTTCTTTACTGTTCGACTCTGATCTGAGACAATATATGTGCATTGCCTTTTTAAAACTTTAATAGAATTAACAACACTCCGTCGTCTAAACAAAAGTAAAAAATCTTTTGTTTAAAACTTATTGGTTTTGGATGATGTCAAAAGTTATTCCTCATATATTTTCAAACAGCCCAGAGCTATACTAGGCAGTCTCACGATATCTGACAACAAGGTTTCCGACCGAAGAGGTTTTTATTTTACATCAGACAGCTTTTATATCAACTCTTACCACTATTATATATCAATATAGCTTAAGTTTTGAGATATCGGACTGTAAACCTATCCGACGTGTCTATTTGTGCTTACCCGTTGTTTGTGTAATCAATGTAAAATTTGTATATAGTTCTTGTGAGTACATAAATGTAAAAGTTAATAATTCTAAACCTCGATATTTCGAGACCATATTATATTTCGGTAACAGTGAAAAGAACAATCTTCCTCAAAATAGCTGACATTACTCGGAATTACGCCAATATATTGGCTATTAAGATTTCTATGTTTTCTTGCCTAATATGGAAATATTAATAATACTTATGCTTAAAAATACTTTAAAACTGACTTAAGTGTTAATATATTTCTTTACCTTATATAGTTATATATTTTGTAGATTCACTGTCTGCGATTTCATTATTTTATGTCTCTCTCTCTCGAACTGGACGAATTGATTAAATATGTTGATGATATTCAATGTGAAAATGATATAATTATTTACTGATGAGAAATTCTAATTCATAAAATTTAAAAATATAACTTTTGTATATATATATATATATATATATATATACATACATATCAATTACATTTCTAGCAACAATTCATATTATAAAAGAATAGTTGTATTGCAAAAAGCCAACTATTACAGTAGTAGAACATACATATAGAAGATATACTCTATATCACATAATAACTTGTTTTTATTTCCTAGATTGATGAACTATGAATATTTCTTCTACGGCATGATTAATCCATTTCAACAAGAATGAAGCGGCACCACTCTTGTCACTGAATTATGCTTCAATTATTGCACCTGTTTCCATTGGAAGATACGATTAAGAAAATTGAAGATCTTCATTGACATTTCAAAGCTTATCAATGTTAGGTATGCATATATATATTATTAGCGAAACATTTTGGAGATGAGGAGATCCCCACCACGACATATTATTTTATTTAATTTAATTAACACTACAACAAAAGATTGTATATAAAACAAAAGATAAAAAATATGTGTGCAATTGTGTGAATATTTTATTTATTCGGTATTATATTTAACAAGTGTAAACAATTTTTTATATCTACTCTTACTAATTTTATTTATTTAGATTTATATAAAATAAAGATAAAATTTGTATAATTTTAAAACAAAATAAATATCAATAGTAATAATATATTGCTTTCTACTTAATTTGACTGAGCATCTGAGTTTAATAAACAATATGTTTTCTAAGTCTATATTATTTATGTAATTAATATGCATGTACTAAAAATAATTCAAATAGACGAATTATTATATTATATAAATTTGTCACGGATATTCATATATGATATTTTATTATGCAATATGTTTAAATCACACTGTGTACGTATCATCTATTGATACTAGTATAAAGTAATTAAGAGAGTCTCTAATACATGTAAAAAACACATTATTTCAATTAGCAATTTCAAAAAATTTTTAATCTGCATTACTGATATAAGTATTATATAAAATGTTCAAACTTATACAATCAATATAGTGAATATTAATACAGTTTTAAGTGTATATAATTTGTTAATAATAAGGAGTATAAATTATGTGAGATTACTGTGTGTTAAAAACTTGAGAAGATTTTGAGAAACTGCCTTCGTTCGACAAAACAAAATAATTAACTTTAACAAAAAAAACAAAACGAAGGTGAAGACCCAAAATACAGAGAGAGGTAGTTCTTTAACATACTGACTACTAAACGTTTGACGTCAACCTTATCACCAATCTTTCAGATTTGTTCTTGAGTTAATAAATTTTCGTTTTTTTGTACACTAAAAAAACTATGGAAGACAGAAACTTAAATAAATGCGTATAAAAATGCAGTAGTCAATATAATTACACTGGCTAATGGAGTTTCGGTATTTCCATCACTATGTGTTAGTATGTGGAGGTCTTCATCGGTATGAGTTTCGGTTTCAATTTTATAGAGAAATTCGGCAGATACTGGTTTGTGGTCAGATAATGTATACTCAGGATGTGATTTATATGATAGCTGGTCGAGACTCAACTTAATGCTAGGATATTTATCAGCTTGAACACGATATAGAATGCGATCACACCATGCAGGTCTACGATTTAAATCGTAATCCGATGTACCCTCAATAAATTTGAATGTAGGTGCAAAATCAATTGTATGCTCTTCTAATCGGCCAAAAGCATTTCCAGTTTTACGCACTAAATTTAATTGATCACGTTCAAGTAGCTCAGCAAATTGGCGAGCTTCCACTAAAGTACGTATATCCCAGGCTGAGTCAGTACCATCGATGCGAAAGTTTAGATCACCAAACCAAAAAACAAAATCGTGATCAAATATCGTTTTGTATTTGTTTGTATCATAGTGATGATTATTTATAATTTGATTATAATCTTCTATTCGTTCTTTTAGTTTTTTGTCGTGAGCTGCTAAATGTGCACCAACAAATGCCACACCAGTACCATATAAACTCATACGTATGCTAACTGCACCTTTGTTACCCCATAAGCCACCAAAACCAGTCTTAGTACTTCCAACTTCAATATCCTTTATATGTGGAATATGCTGTATTTGCGAAAACATCATAATGAGAATTCCTTGCAATTGTTCTGTTGATACTTTGGCAAACTGTTTATCGTTAAAATGTTCAC